ATTCAGCAATTCAATTCAGTCCAAATTATGTCCAGATTGTGTAATCCAATTGTTCCAAATGATGTCCATGCAAAAGAGGACGATGGTGTTGTCCATGTCTCAGCAGCTCACAGCCGGAGTGAAATCAGGGGCTGTGCAGATTGTCCAAGTGTGCTGGTCCAGACGCATGGTTTCTCTTGAGGTTTCTCAGTTTTGGCTTTAAAAAAAAAACACATTTTTGTGTAAAAAAAAAGTAGTCTTCTGTTCTCTAGATGTTACAGACAATGCCCGCATTCTCCACCACCTGAAGAAGATGACAAAGTCTGGGATCGCGTCTTAAATTCAGACAGAAGACATGTTTTATTGTCGATGGTAGAGACAGCACGAACAACAGATACAACAGAATACAAGTGTATTATACAGAGCGGAGGCATGGAGACCTCCAATCAGCAGCTTCCACGTTGTGCATGTAGCTTGGCCTTCAGATAGACAAAACAAGGGAAAAGTACTGGCTTCTGCACATTGATAGAATGATGAGTTTAACTTTAACAAAAGTTGCTTAATACCATAGATGATACACACTATGCTAGGTTGGCTGCTAACATTTGCATGTATTGATTTGCAAATTTAGGTAATGACTTATAACAGCAGGGGCCTGGGGTGGGCTTTGTTTATTCGTGCGGGGGAGGGAGAGCTCCAAGAGAGTACTACAGTAGTCCACAGATACAGTACACATGTGGACAATGCAGAAGAGATGCCATGGCAGTGTGTCCCCTGAGAATGCACAGTATATATTTTGTAATCAGTTTGTGCATTTCTCAGAACAATTAGTGCAATCGGCAAAACCTCATGGATAACTTGCTAAAAAGTCACTTCCTCAAAATGAACTTAATTCCTCAAAAGAAAGTCTTCATGTCAATGAAACGGTCTGTGTCTGTGTCCTGACACCAGTGTTTATGAACAACAGTCAAATGATTTAGTCATGTTTTCATTGTGACTGTATTTAGTGAGATATATATGTATGTACTGTATGTCTTTCACATATTTACTGCATATGCTCTTTGCAATTCTACAGCATTGTGCAACAAAAATAGCACACATACAGTATTTACGTAGAACAAACATACATAACTCAATACTTAAACTCGGTACTTCACTCGGTACTTCAAAAAACTCAGAAAACTCATAAAACATTTTCAGATCTTTCATAAAACTTGTCAACAATCTTCAGTAAAATACCAAACTTCATCAGTCAATGGTTCTCAGATATTGCTTTGAAAACAGTCTCTCCCACTTCTCCGTGTTGATTTCTTCAGGCTGCATTTGTGTCAAGCCATGAATTCTTCTGTGACGTGTCTTTCAATCGCACGTTTCAGCTTTAGTGTCCAGATTCAGTAATTCAATTCAGTCCAAATTATGTCCAAATTCAGAAATCCAGATTGTTCCAAATGATGTCCAAATTCAGAAATCCAGATTGTTCCAAATGATGTCCAAATTTTGTAATCCAATTGTTCCAAGCTGTTTGAGTCAAATAACGTTCAGCGTTATATTACCAATAGTTTCTCTTTCCATAACGATATTCTCTCTTTTTGGAAAGATCACCAACGTGATGCAAAAGTTTACGTTATACACTGAAAAAAATCGTGATTAACATTTACTTAAAAAAATCCTCGTAAGTATTTGCACGAAGATATAATTAAAGATTACTACTATAAATCAAGTAAAACTTTTTATTTCATCAAGTATAATCTGAATGTTATTTGTAAGTAAACCTTACTTAACAAATGTGATTTTTTTTACTTGATCACATAAAATAATCAAGTAAGGTTTATGTGATTTTTTTTAGGTTATTTATGTGTGAAATAGATATACTGAGTAACCATTATGTGTACAGATCATTTACAATAATGGATAACTTGAATAAATGTTATTTATATTTTATCAGTATATTTCATATCATTGCAATAATACTTATTAAGTACTATATGTGTGTAACAATTACATTATTATTGAATTAATAAGAAAAAACAATATGCAAATATCAACATTTAACAACCTGTTTTATTGACAAACTTTTAAGTTCACACATCAACAATGAAAACTAAAAGATGAACTAAAGCTGACCTTAAAAGCAGAACACATGACAACAGAAAACTTAATTATCACAAAAAGGATGCAATGGGAATGGTATAGAGATAGGCCATTGATTTTCTATAATTAAATGTCATTAGCTTAGATGAGATGATGCACCTGCCTGGTCTTTGAGCCTCTGTTCAGCTAAAGACCAGGATGTTGTAGCATTAGCCTCTCGCAGTAAATCTCAATGGCTCCAGACCGAGGTAATTTTAGAAGTGGCCGAGCTCTTTCACATTTTCCCTAATTAAAACACTGTTACATGAGGAGTTACTAGATTCAAGAATAGTCAATTAATTTAACATGTCCATGTTTTAATGACTAATTTTCATATTCTAGTCTAAGCTAGAGTCTAAGCTAAAGTAACAACATCAAATTATATAATGTGGCCTTTTCTCTTATGCTGAACAAAATTGCTTCTCTTATGTTTTGGACAGTAGCTTGACTTTCAGTGTTTGTATTTTCGGGGATGGCTTAAATGCATCTAAATGTAAGAAAATCTTCTGAAATACTTCGAAGGTGTATCGTAGTGTTGTAGGATAAGCAAGATTGAGGGAATATATTAGACCCATTAGCAGTGCACATGCCTTTGCAGTATTTCCACATCCAGTCACAATCTCCTTGCCGTCGAGAACAATAGAGACATCCACAGGTTCTTCATCAGAGGAAGAACAAACGACCAGGATCTTCATTTTGTGCCGGTGTTCTGCCGAGTTGTAACGCTCTGCCAAAAAGTGACGCTTATGTAATGCTCAGCTGTTAATGATGTAATGCAAACCTGCGCGCATGCGCGTCTCACGGCAACCAAAGCATACCAAGATGGCGGACAGAAAGTCCGTGAATTCCTTTAAAAGTTATAATACGAACGAAATAAGACACGAATGTCACTTTTAATGCAATTTGAGGCGAGATGTTGATGGTTCCGTGTTGGCACATGTGGGTTTTAAGAGTCAAACTTTCGGGTAAAGTTTAGTTTAAGCAGTCAACTGCACCTATGAAACCACTATGCTTATGTTATGATAGCAGTCCTCGGCAGCTGACGTAGGCTGATGAAGCGTCCTGTGGCAACTCTACAGCTTACAACTGGATGAATGTTGATAATGGAAATAATAAATTTAATTTAATGCAGCGATCACCTGCAGCAGCACAGCTTGTGGACTGCACACTTTTCTGTCAGTTCAGTTAATAATTTTCATGGGATGAATTCGAAGTTGCAAAAAAAAAAATATGGCCATTTGGATATATAGTGCAACTTTTACTGTCAAGACTCTGCTGCAGCTGATCCATGACAACAACCACAGGATTATTATCACCAGTAACCACAGAGATTACATGCCATGGCCATGTTGTCCTTTGAAATGTAATTCATTCGTGGATTGATGAATTTTGAATAGTTTCCCAGATGAAAGATCGGGTGCATCCTTTCTATTAAAGAAATGAACAACACTGGTGAGTAACATTTAAATTGGAACCAATCAAAGGTTTTTTCATGGGTTGTATGTTAGGTTGTGCATAAAAAATGGGCTGTGGTATTAAATTGAATTTGTGTAGATTTTCCTGCTGAAGGATGTAAAGTTCCCGCATTGATGTCAAGCTTTAAATACAAGAGAAAACACGTTTGTAGTTTTTTTGTGTGGATCAATCAAGTCTGTAGGCTGTAAACTAAGTGTATTTTTAGAAATGTAGGAATTGTATTGACTTTGATTGGTTAGGCCCGACCAGGGACAGGAGTTGTGAATTGGCATCTGCTATAAACTACATTCATCACATCAGCTGCAAGCTTTGTTTATGACTGTGTCTGCATTGTCCCTGTCAAATAAATATATTGATAATGTTGAAAGAGCGTGGAGACTTCATTTTCAGAAATCAATTCATTTAACAAATATCAGGCACATCCAAAGCACACAATACATTGTATATCTTTCAAAACACAAATCTGAGAGGAACACTTAAACACATGAAATGCAAAACAACACAGAACCATTGATCCATAAGGAGAAAAAATGTCCATACATGTTGTAGAATGATAAAGTGTCCTGGATCATCACCAGTCCTTTTGTTAGACACTTAACTGTCTAACAGACCCTCCTACATCGGCAAGGAAAAACTCTAAAACCCAGTGGGAAAAAAGTGAGAAACCTTGAGGGAGACCACATTGAGAAAGGGATCCGCTCCTCACGGACGGACAGGCTTTAGATCCAGAACCTAAGCTACAGAACATGGACCAGGGCGCAGGGCGGGACTGGGGCAGCAGAACGAGGACTGAGGCAGCTCCCAGGCAGGGGTGCAGCCCACGAGTCGGGCTGAAGGAGGACAGTCAGCAGGTGCAAATGGTCTCGTCGTCACACCATGAAACAGACAAAGGGACAAAACATTTCAGTACACTACGCAAACAGCAAATTACAATAATTAACATACGTGTCCAATTCCACAGGAGTCTCAGATTTGTGGAGTTGGTTAGCTGGTGCTCGGGACGACTGGGAGCCAGGTCATTCCTGCATGTGATGTGCTCAGGATACGCGAAGAGTTCACAGATCCTGAAGGCCAGTGCGTTGGCTTTCTGTCCTGGTCAGCCTCTGTAATAATATATTATTAAGTTATTGTACTGTAATGTTTGTACAGTGTTATTTCTTTACCAAGTGTTGGCTTTGCTGTTTGCTTTCCTTTGTTGTACTTTGGGTTGGAACTTTGAATAAAGACTGCCCCTTGAAGAATCTTGCCCACGTTTGACATTTTCATTCAAGTGCATTCCTGCCCAAAAAAGCCTGCACAAAAAAGTTTCAATGTTAACAGGATTTGTATTCTTAATTATTACAAAGAATAACGCTTCAGCTGTGATGTCTGGTGCTCGGAGACGGGTTTCTGCACATCTTTAGGCAATCAGTTGTTCATTTAGCTCTTCTTTGTACAATGGGGCATACCCTGAGAAAACAATGAATTTGGTTACAAGAGAAATGTTTTGACTTGCGTGTGACAATCAGTGACACTATAGTCCGCTTCAAGACTTTTTCCATGTAAAAACTCCCTCCTACCTCATTGCTCTAAGGAAACACAAAAGTTTTAATTTATAATGAAAATACAATAAATTGTAATATTTACTACTAGACATACCTGTTCTGTTTGTATGTCAAGCGCCTTCTCACTCTCAAGTTCCATTGGTGTGTAGCTGTCACATTTGGCAGTGTCCTAAAAGCATTGGAAAAACGTTAGATGCAAAGTAACAAATATTACTGACATTACTATCCCTACCTGGTGAATCTGCTATTTTTCCCTTCTTCAAATCCTCCAAAAGCCTCTTGATTTTTCCTCCACTTGTTTTTGATTGGTGGGTCAAGAAAGTGCCATGATTGTCTCCTAAATAAAATAAGGTATAATTTGTCCCACAGTGGGAAAATGTGATTGTTACAGTATTTACTTACTACTTATTTACAGACGAGATGACATGTACAGGCTCAGCAGTTCTCACAGTACAGTCTGACAGCGGCAGGAAGGAAAGACTTGTGCAACCTCTTCTTCACACATAGAGGATGAATAGCTCTCACTGAAGCTGCTCTCCAGAGCAGAGTGTCCTGCAGGGGGTGACAGTCATGGTCCCCCACCTGCTGCACTGGGAACAGCCCATGACTGAGCTGAACTTACTGATGACCTTGTCCAGCTTCTTCCCCCTCTGTGTAACCCAACAATTGAACGAATGGAACTTACAGGATAATCTACAGGCACCTCTGAGGGGAACACAGCCTCCCGCCCATACATCAACTGGAATGGGGTGTGTTTGGTTGAGATGTGCACCTTTGACCTCAAAGAGAACAGTGTGGCATCAAGGAATGTGTCCCAGTTGTTCTGCTGCTCATTCACCAACTTCATCAAAGCTCTGAGAAAGACATTCCGAACATTGTTTAAATGGGGGAAATTAAAACATGTAGGGTTTGCCATCAGTCATATATTTAATGTGTGCTTCACATGATTAAATTATACATATCTTTCTTGCCTCTTGATGTTGTGGTTGGTCTTTTCGTCCAACCCATTAGTCTGTGGGTGGTACGCAGCGGTGACGCTTCTCTCAATGCCCAGCAGAGAGCACAGAGAATCATTGAGCTAAAACAATGAAAATTAAATGAATAAGAAAGTATGAACAAAAAAAAGTAACAACTACAAAAAGCAATATTCACCTCATTTACAAAATCCCGCCCTTGATCAGACAGGATCCGTTTCGGGCACCCATGCCTGTATATTATAGAGCAAAGTCTTTGCCCAACCTCCGCAGCCGTCTTGGTTTTCAATGGGAAAGCCTCTACCCACTTTGAAAAATAATCAGTGGCTGTAAATATGTACTGATAGCCATCAGTAGTTTTGGGGAAGGGCCCAGTTAGGTCAATCCCCAGCAGCTCCCAAACAGCAGACACCTAACATGCCAACAGGATTGTAATGCATAAATGTACATTGGTGGTTGAATAGTAACAATACAATTACCTTTATTGTTTGGAGTGGTGCAACTGTACCCAGAGTCTTTCCCTCACGTTGACATTGGTCACACTCAGCAATCTTAAAACGAACAGGCTTTAGGGAAGGGAATTGTACAGACAAATAATATCACATACCCAATTGTCAATCATCACAGTCATGCCACGCCAGTAAAACCTGGAACAAATGGCATGTCGGGTTTTTTTCATCCCAGTGTGGCCTCCCATGGGCGTAGCATGAAACTCTTGAAATAGTTTCTGCGCCTCATGTCTGGTTTTAATGGCTCTTCTTTTGCCATAGAACAGCTCACCATCTATAAAAAATAATTTATATGAAAACAACAGAAGAAGAATAAGACATGTATAACCATACTAGCAAATGCATTATTACCCTTTACTGTAAACTTAAGGGAGTACTTCCTCCAGTTGTCTCTTTGAAATTTATTCATTCCCTCAGGATAAATGTTCTCTGTGAGGAGGAGAAACATTTCATCCCATTTATGCTCCATTTTGATTATTAATCAAAAGTAGATGTAAATGAGGAAGTGAACAAAAAGTGCAAGGATGGGTCTGGGGAGAGAAAGAGAAAACGTTGTTACATGACTACCAAATAATAACATCAAAAACAGATCAAAACCCACACTAAAATATCTTACTTGAAAAATGATGGAAATCTCTGAATTTGTATAAGTATTGAATTCCTTTCACCATTAGATATCGAAAGATAAAGGCTCAAGGATGGGTCTGGGGAGAAAAAGGGAAGACGTTGTTAAATGACTACCAAGTAATAACGTCAAATACTGTTTGAAAAAAACCCACACAAAATTATCATATTTAAATTATGGAAATCTCTGACTTTGTATTGGTATTAAATTACTTTCACCATTAGAAATCAAGAGATAAGACCATATGTAAAATTATTAATAATGAGGCTACATGCATGAGAATCCACACACATAAATGAAAAGTAATTTCTCTTTTCTACTAGTACATAATGTTACTATCTTTCCACGAGCAAATATGAGAAACTTAATACATTTCTGGAGGGATTATGACCACGTATTCATTCATGCATTACGCGTGTACGTAACATTTTCCCCAAAATCTAATTTCGAACCCAGGAGTTGGTACAAAGTTGAATAAGTAATTTCATATTGTATAGAATTTAGTAGCGTCCGTGAGGTCAGTGCTTGCACCATTAAGTGCTTGCACCATTAAAGAAGCTATACCCGATTTTTTTTCTAAGTAGTTCATAAAAATGCTTTTTACTACATACAAGTTGTATCATAATACATAATTTAATTGAAAACTTGAGGTCATTGATTCCACTGTGTATGAAATTCAGGCAGTGAAAAGTGCTGAGTAGAGTCTGAGCGGGCCGCTCTTTCTCCTCCGCTCACAGAACGAGCAGCGACCAGCCTGCGTCCTCTAGCCCCTACAGCGCTGCTTAACACCAGGGCTTCGACTTCAAAATTCGAATATAATTCTAAAATAAAACATATATACATATTTGAACAAATATTAGACAACCCTTATAATTAGAAATGTATTTAATGACTGCAAATAAAATAGTTAGCTCCCAAAGGTTTCACCGGGACGTGCTAGGCAGGTAACAGCTAAACTAGCTAGTTGTTTCATGGTAACTTCCGGGTTTTTCGCGATCGCTTTTTGTCACTTTAAAACAGTATTTTTGTCATGAAAACGTTGACAGCAAATTCTGAAATCGTCCGTGCATGTGTGTTAAGGATGTATCTGTATACGGTATTGTCCGGTTGACGTTTAATGGTGTTGATTGATTGATATGTAGTTGTTTATTGAGCGTGGCTAGCTCCGCTAGCTTCTCTACACAGACAAGTGTGCAGAAAAACTGCACAATGTAGTGACAGGCGCTGATAGCTTGTTGTACTTGCAAAGTAATGGCAGTATTTTACACACCTGAATTACAAACAGATTGCATTGGGGCTGCGGTCATTATTGGTTTGAGAGTTCTGTTATCAAGAAAAAATGATCGGAAGAATTGCATTCAAGTCAATGGAGTGTTCTACTGCTGTGAGGAGCTGTATAATAAATTATAATTAAATATTAGAATATATTCTAATGTTTAAATTAATACATCCGGACGCGAAACGTATTCTTTTACTTATATATTGTGTTAGCAGTGCATTGCTTTAGTGCCATTTCATCAGTGATTGTTGCACAGCTTACAAGTTACGCTAATGCTAATGTTAGCATACGTATCAGATCGCAAATAAAACTAGGTGGCTCCGTGTTATGAGAGCGCAGGTGAAATGAGAAGCCTGTGAGCGAGCTGGGGGGCGGTGCTAAACATTCAAACATTGTAGAAACGGGTATAGCGCCTTTAAGTGCTTGCACCATTAAGTGCTTGCACCATTAAGTCCAAATCAACGCGCTCGGTTGCTTCAAGGAAAACGCGGTCAAACTTATGGGTCAAACTTAATAATATCCCTATGCATGCACTTCACTGAAAAAGTACTATATATTTAAAATGAATCACTGTTGGTAGCGTTACATAGCATGTTGGTCCATCTCACACGCCAGCTGTAAACGACTTTTACTAAAAAGTCGTTTACACAGCGTTTGTTTCACTACATATCGATGTATCTAAGCCCCTATCAAATCACAGGATGAATTTGGCTGATAGAACGTTAAAACAATCGAAATATATGCCATTTGAAAACGGAGAGCCATACTCACGTGTGTTTTCAGCTTCGGGTAGAAGAGAAAACAAGTCTGATTTGAGCATGCGCAAAAAAGGACGTACGTCAGCTGCCAGGACTGCTATCATAACATAAGCATAGTGGTTTCATAGGTGCAGTTGACTGCTTAAACTAAACTTTACCCGAAAGTTTGACTCTTAAAACCCACATGTGCCAACACGGAACCATCAACATCTCGCCTCAAATTCAGAATCAGAATCAGAATCAGAATCATTTTTATTGCCAACGTAAGTAACGGGAGGTCACAGACTTGGAAATTGCTTTGGCTCAGTGCAACAGTCAAAAAGAGATAATAAAAATAAGAATAAAAAACACTTCTAAAGAATAAATTTAAATTTAAAATAGAGTTACAGTTACTATTTACAATATACAAGTGCACATGGTGCACACAATGTAAGGTGAGTTGCATTAAAAGTGACATTCGTGTCTTATTTCGTTCGTATTATAACTTTTAAAGCAATTCACGGACTTTCTGTCCGCCATCTTGGTTTGTTTCGGCTGCCGTGAGACGCGCATGCGCGCAGGTTTGCATTACATCATTAACAGCTGAGCATTACATAAGCGTCACTTTTTGGCAGAGCGTTACAACTCGGCAGAACACCGGCCAACATCCTCTAACTGCGCCTGGGTAAATTGTAAAGAGGAAGAATTACTTTGATAAATACACTCTATAGCTTACATAGCTATAGCTATAGCTCACTTCTATAGCCATAAATCTTTTTATTTATCTAATTTATGCCCTGACAAAGACCGCTGTTGGTCGAAACGCGTAGGCAGTCCAATTCATTAAAGGACTTTTAATTTTTTCACCAAAACAGAGTGCCTCAGACTACCTTTGTTCTCTTCAAACATTATACTTGATTGATCAATAATCACAAGACAGGTCATAATCATAGACACAGCCATAAGGTGATTCCAAAACACGGACGTGTGTTTTTGTCATGGGTCAACATGCTGTGTTACATTACATTGGAGTTCATCATCGTGGCACAATATAAAAAAACAATCAAAACAAGTTTATAAAAGAAAGAGCAGTGAGTTCCCAAACTCTGACAGTGAGAGCTTTAAATTACCACTGTATTTCGTTTGGTGTATTTGAAGTGTTGACACTCACTCTTACAAAACAGGTTAAATATGTGAGGAATAGGACGACCCTGAGTTTTTGAGAGAATGGGGGAGAAAAATATCAAGAATGGTACCTGGCAATCTAGAAAGAGTTCTTCCTCATTTTCACCGAGGTAGAGCATTAAACCACAAATCACATTGTCACGTCTCATCTCAATTGTTTGGTTCTGTAAATAGCACCAAAACAGGGATTTATCAATGGGAAAGAACAAATTATGTATTGTACTCAGCATAAGTTATGACTAAACATACCTGTATCTGTTTGTTCAAAACAGGTTTCAGTTTTGCCCCGATAGCACCACCCTTCTTCGCAAACACAGAAAGTAAATTTGGAGTGTATTTGTCCAGATTGAACATGAAGGTCTGCTCAAGAGGAATGGTGGTGATTCTCCAACTTTGCATTGCCATCTCTTTTGAGATGAGATGGCAATGCAAACTTTGCATTGCCATCTCATCTAAAAAGCCTACTGTCTCTAATCTTTCTCCTTCTTTGAGTCTTGATTATTGGTCCCCTGCAAGACAAAAATATGGATTCAATGTTGTATACAGTTAGTAAACTATAAATCAAATGTATAGTTACATTTTTACCTGATTGAAGCTACCAAAGTAGAAGTGGTGGGTATAAGATCTGGTGTCAATATCAGCACTTCTCTCCTGAATCTGAAAGAAAATTGTAAAATATACTTTAACATTACAGTATATAATATATAAATAATGTAATATTTATAAATTGTCAAATATACTGTAACATTACATTACTTGTGATTAATTTCACAATGTTCACATAATTATTATTTAATTGTCTAAATTCACAAATAATTCATACAATTTTAGTTGCACGGGGGGAACATAAATGCTTTGGGATATATTTTCAGTCTCCAAACGAAAAAAACGGAAAGACGTATCTACTTGTTAAGCAATAATAACTAAGTATCAGCCATGTTTAGTGGAGTGCATAGCGATATAAGAAAGACAGTCATGAAAGTAATGAAAACTGGCCTCAGAAGAAGCTACGCTACAACATTAACTACGCTATGAATCAAATCACGCGCAGCGTCGTTTGTACATACCGAAGCACGCAGTCCTCTGTACACAGCCCAGATTTACGTTTGAGAAACGAGACCAAACTCTTTGCTAAATAAAGCACAGGCATGCCTGTGCTTGTTGTTGTTTGAGGAGGACACGTGACAAAGCAAAAGCATGATGGGAACTGTAGTATTTGACGCGATTGTTTCAACACAAGTTTCCGAGCTGTATTATACTTATTTGCTTACATTGCGTAGCCTTGTGTTACTTCCAAGGAAAATGAGAAAATAAATTATTTAGTTCTTTTCAAATGGTTAACTTGTTTAACTAAGCTAGCAAACACCATGTGCCTTATTTCCCGCGGATGGAAATTAGTCCGATTAACGCTAAACTAATATTCAATTGAGTTTTAAACCAGCGTTAGATAACATAGCATAGGCTATGCCTTGTTTCATGTGACGAAAAGTTGAATATCTCTCAGTTCCATTTTGACGCAGGAGAAAAAATACCTAGCATCTAAAAATATAATGTTAGCCGACGCTGATGTGACGCAATGACGACATGTGTACAATGCAACACAACCCAAAGACAATAATGAATATACTGTCACATGAAAAACAATTGAAAAGTTACTTACATTAAACTTCACGTTCCACTTTCGTGTTCGTTCGAGTCTGCTGGGAGCATGGATCAATGACAGATTGTCATTGTGTGCGGGGCAGAAACTCGCCAATGTAACCCTGCTCACAAGTGCCACCTGGTGGTTGTTTTGGTCATTGCAGCATCACTGGGAAGGGGGAAAATAAAAGACGCGTGAATCACACGAGACTCACGTGTGATTCACGCGTGAAAGGCGACAAAACGGAATGGGACCTACTGTAAACCTAGAATAAGATATAGGACATTACAATTAACCTAAGAGGGAGGGGGGGCTATCACTGCCTTGCCTAAAAAAATATTTCCAGGCTGCACAATTGAGGATTCTGATCAACTTATGTGATTCTGAGTATTCCGCGAAGTGGAAGGATATTGAGGAGATTGATTGGGGAGATACTGTTACAATCTATAATAAGTGATGAAACATTAACGATCCATCTGAAATTAAAAATAAATCCATGGTTGGGGGTACCTGTTAAAATTTGGACTGGAATCATGAATAGTTATCACTTGACAAAGTGTAGTAGGTAATTGAGGTGGATCGCTTACGATGTAGACTTCACACCTAACAAATTAGATGCCAGATTTAAACTGTGGGATACTGGGCCAAAAATACATTGGGATGTTTTAAAAGATAGAAAGGTAATTTGTTTCCAGAAAATGAAAGATGATTATGGCCTCCAGAACCATGATTTCCATAGGTATTTACAGTTACGACGCTATTTGGGAGATAACATTAAAAAAGATGCTTTAGAATCATGGCCAGATATAAAGTGGTGATGGCTGCATTTGGATCACAATCCGGAAGCAGAGTTATTTCTAATGGTGCATTCAGACCGCAAACGCTCAAACGCTGAAGCCCCGCTCACCAGACGTGCATTCTCTAGTTATCAGACGCAGAGCACTTCACTCCAGAACGTCCTGACGTGAGCCGGGAGTACCGGAAGTAGCCGGCCGACTGTAATGCTAACAGAGCTATGCTAGCGGCTTCTTGTGTACAGATCTTCTCCAATATGCAGCTTTGTAGCGTGTCTTTGAACAGAGACTTTCCACGGGCTTTATACAGTATAACAGTAGTATGTGTTCACGGAGGTGCGCCATACGTTTTTTTGTATTATTAAACGGTATTTCCGCATCGGTGAACACACTCGAAGCAGTTGCATAAAGTCACGGGAGCATGACAAAGCATATATTCACAAGCACAGAGTCCCCCATTGTCAACCCTGGTTTAGACCTGGTGTAGCTCCTGTTTTGGGTGTTTACAGTATGTTCAGTCTGCTCGTTCAGACCACCAATGTCCCGTGACCACAGCTCTCTGATTGGTCGCTACACGAACGTCCCGAGGAAAAGTTGAGCAAAGTTTATCTCCTGTGGGCGTCCATTTTCCGCTCCTGCTCCTCCCCTTTCGCTTTCCCGCCAAGTCCGTGCGGCTCTACTCAGCGGTCCGTAAGTGCGTGCCAAGCGGTTGGTGCGTTTTGACACTACAACGCGCGTCACCATAGACTTTGCATTGAAACCCGACGCAACGCTTGATCCGGTCTGAACGCGCCATAAGTTATACAAGATTCTGGAGAGCATAAAAGCTGATGACACTGTATATGTAAAAGAGAAGTGGGAAAAGGGAGGCAGATATAGTCATATCAGTAGAGGAATGGGTGGAAATAAATCAACATCCCGCCACAAATTCATTATCATGGCGGGAATACGGGTGGAAGAATACACTGAGGTTTTTTGCTACTCCTGCTCAGAGAAAACATGGAGAAACAAAAAATTTTGGAGGTCTTGTGGTGAAACAAAAGCAGATCACTTCCACATCTTCTGGGGATGATCCCTCATAACTCAATTTTGGATAGATTTGAAAGTGGCATTAGAGGAAGTGTTAGAAGTAAAAATTCCAACCAGTTTTTGAAACTATGTATCTGGGGAAAAGAGAAAATCTGAATTTTAAAGGAAGAGATGACTACGAAATGTTTCGAATAATGCTGTTGGCCAGTAAAAATGCTATTACCAGGAGATGGCGTGGTGATTTGATTCCTACTGTGAAAGAATGGACTGATGTAATGTTGAATATATATAAGGGAGTTTTAGGGAGTGAGCTACGGCCGTGAACTCTAAGGTTTGGGCCGGTGCGCCTGACTCCTGGGTCTCTTGGTCTGGAAGACTCAAAGTTCCAAGCCAAGAGATTAGCAGGAGTTTCTACTTTAGGGGACTAGGATACAAAAATAGGAAACTTCGAAAATCAAAAAAGGGTGGCTGTCTTGGCAGCGGGTAGGAGCGTCATTAAGGCACTCGATGGTGCGGGGTTCCCATCTTGCTCGTTCTAAAAGGGGAGTATAAGGGTTACAAGAATATATGACGTAGCAAGTGGGGCTTTAATTACGAGGGGAACTTCCTTTATATAAACGGGGATGACAGGTATGATTGTCTAGGAGACTGATTAGGTATCGAGGTAGATATGTTTGGATCTCAGCTGGTGACTCTTAGTGGGGTTTTAGGCCCTTGGTTCACCTTCTGTGATAGAAAGGGTGACCGTCTCGAGTGGGTGGCTTCGGAGGTCCTCGTACTCTGATTCGTTGACCTGGGGGCGCCGACTTAAATTGCCACGCTCGACGGCGCTGTCGCCCCGGTTTGGTCGTTTACGGATCTGTCTCGTCATTGCCTCCGTGCACCTGTTAAAGCTATCGCGGAGTCATCTAACCCGTCTATTTAGGACGAAGGCCATGGCTACGGCCAGAATGTCCTCAACTAACGATAGCGGCACGAGGTATGGCGGGATACGGCCCCTGGCTAGGTTTTCGATCGAAGAACTGAGGTGACGTAGCATGTCCTCCATCAGTTGAGTGGTCAGCTGAGTATGGGCGTAGTCTAGTTGGGGAACTTCTAAGAGTTGATTGACCGCAGCGGAGGTGCGTTTAATCGCAACCTCGTGCGTGTTAAGTACTAGCATGGTTCCTTTCAGGGACTTTCCCAAGGTCACCACGTCGTTTTGTTGTTGGTCGAGTCTGGTTTTGACGTCCTCGAGTTCAGAGGCCATTTCGTGTTGGTGGCGTCTGAGGGAGGATAGGCTAATGGCGTTTACCGTGGACATCCCTAGGCTAAAGAGGGTGCCCAGGGCTGACGCCGCGCCGAGGAGAGCCCCAATAAATCGTTTGGGTCTGGGGCGAGGGTCACTGAGCTCTGTCCTAGTGATCGTGAACTTCTCTAGTTGCGTCAGCATGTGTTGTATGTCTGCCTCAGCGTGCTCCACGACCGTCTGGGTCCAGCGTGCACCTGCCCCATCTTTGAGTGTGACCTTCAAGGGCAGGTTCTTGCGGCAGACTTCACTAGGATTGAGTCTGACAAAGATTTGCTGTGTGTGGAGTCGGACGTCCGTGATGAGGAGCCCGGGTCGTTCCTTTAAAACAATCCCGGAGGCTGGTCCGGTCTCAATAATTTCTGGGGTGCCGAGGCACAGTATGCAGGTCAGCATGAGAAGGAAAGTGGGCCACATGTTCTGCAAGGCGTGAAACAATTGTTAGGGTTTAGACAGAGAGAGGGAGAGAGAGAGACTCGATTAGTGCAGCCGAGAAGAGTGTTAGTGGGTGCTGGACTAATCGTGTTTGAGGTCACGTGGTGTGTTCCTAACTGGGGTTTGTAGTGTGCCCTGCTTGTCCCATGGGGCTTTGTTTGTGTGGTTTGGTTTGGCTGTAACGGGCCCCTCTGAGGGTGGGCTCTCTACCTTTTGTGACCTCGATCTGGTGCACTGCGGTTGAGAGTTTGTTTCCCACCCTGTATGGTCTTGACCAGCGGGGTAGCGATTTCCGGTGTGGTCTGGTGGGGCCGGTCCCCACGTGTCCTGGGGAATGTGCCAAGGTGTAATACCATACCTGGTTTTTGACCTGGAGGTGGTCCTTCGGGTCGGTCCTGTATTGGTTTGTCCTCAGGAGCCGGGGAGTTTCACGTTCTCCTCACTCCGGTTTGGGGATACGTACCTTGGTGTTTCGGTCACCGTCCGGTCCGTCGTTTCTACCTGTTGTAGTGCCTGACGTGGCACGGTGGCTGAGTGGATAGCACTCTCGCCTCTCAGCAAGAAGGTCCTGAGTTCGAATCCCGGCCGGACCAGGGCCTTTCTGAGTGGAGTTTGCATGTTCTCCCTGTGCCTGCGTAGGTTTCCTCGGGTACTCCGGTTTCCCCTACCACTAAAAATATGTACAATAGGTCTGGCATGCGCCTCCTGTTCGGCGACCCCGCTCCCATCTCTGTGTGGAGTGAGAGGACAAGTGCCCAAAAAAATAACAATTGTAAACCGCTTTGTGACTCTGGTCTGTGAAAGGCGGTATATAAATAAAGCTTACTTACTTACTACTTACTTACTACGTGTGTTGTTTATACCTGTTTGTTCCGCGGTAGGTGCGTCATGGGCGTGTGCCAACATTACCCCCCTCATGCTTCGAGGCACCACGAGCACCGACGAAGTGAGTGTATCGGAAGCAGAATCTAACAGCCCATGGCGTATCGGCAGTATGTCTTTATCACGGCCGGAGGTTCCGAGCGTCGTGTCGATCATTACGTCGAAGGGGCGTTCTAGTGTGGGGTTATCGTGTCGGAGGGAGGCTAAGTCCGACCTGTGGAGGTCGGGGGCCGTCCCCCCACAGTCCGGGTAGTACCGTGGCCTAGGGTTAAGTCCTGGCGTGCGTCAGGGGGGGTGCCGCAGGGTTGTCCTCCATGATTGGGGAGGTCCCCGGCGTTCCCATCGTGGGTCACTGGCCATTGTGTCGCAGCATATGCGGACGGCCCAGACTTGGGGCACCGTAAGTCGTGTGGTCCATGTAGCATGTTCTGATGTGGGCCAGGGGGGTCGTTGTAGGTTTGTCCGCTATGTTCAGGGCGGGCCCTTTCGTCCCAATGGCTGCAGTAGTAAGTAATCTTTAGTAGTAAGTAATCTTTATTTATATACCGCCTTTTCACTGCACATCGGAGTCTCAAAGCGGTTTACAATTGTTATTTTTGGGGTTGGGGGTGCCAGTACAGGAGGCACATGCCAGACCTATTGTACATATTTTTAGTGGTAGGGGAAACCGGAGCACCCGGAGGAAACCTACGCAGACACGGGGAGAACATGCAAACTCCACTCAGAAAGGCCCTGGTCCAACCGGGATTCGAACCCAGGACCTTCTTGCTGAGAGGCGAGAGTGCTATCCACTCAGCCACCGTGCCGCCAGTCTGAAGCATGTCTCGTATGGACGTCAGGTGGGCCAGGGTCATGGGTCGGATAGTCATGTTGTCTGTGTCGCATGTCCATGTGTGTTCCCGGAGGGGCGTCGTGGGGGTCGCAGTGGTCGACGTGTCTAATGTTGGGTTGTGTATTGTTCCTTTGACCTTGATTTTGGTCCTTTCCCGTCATGATACTTACCAGTTCGGCCACGCTCCTGCGTTCACAGTTGGACGATGGTTCGCCGCGGTCGGAGCGAGGGGAGTGTGGCCCGGAGGTACTGTCACGGCTGGTTCCGTTCGAAATAGCGGTCCTGATTTCCGCTGCGCGATCAAGATCCATGGTCGCGCTTGGAGTCATGCTCAGTCCCTGTTGGTGGTCCCTACTTACCTGTTGGATTTGTTCTAAGCGGGTCGCGGCGGATTTCCTAGTTTCCGCCAGTTGTCGTTCCAGGTCACTCACTGTGTTTTGGAGCCTTGCTTTCTGGGCTTCGGAGTCGCGCAAGGTTATTCTGGAGATTATGGCTAGTCGTCCTAGCCACTGGGTTAGGGTCTTACCTTGGAGTTTCGTCGTAGTAGCCTCGGATGCCAATATGGAGGTGGCATCTTGTAAGTCAGAGAGTGAGCTGTGCTCAAGCGTGTCAAAGCCCCCTGGGAATAACTTCTCTGTGAAGTTTCGCAGAAAGTTATCCACTATGTCGTGTCCTTCTGCGACACCGTCGTGCTTGCTCGGTCGTGGCGAGTTTCCGCCATTTCCATATTTGTGTGGGTGAGTGTATGCGAGTATGACTTGGAACGTGTGTGCATGGCACGGTGGGAGGAGGAAAGGAGGAAAGCAGTGCTATAGAGAGGGTAGTACAGCTGTTGTTTGTGTGGTGGTGCACACCCCGGTGTGTGTCAAAGCCGTGACTACAGCGTCCTCTCCGTGTGGCGGTGTATGCGAGTAGGCGGCCTAGGACAGGGGTCGGGCGTTAGTACTTCTTCACCTGTGTGTCAGCGAAGAGCGTTGGGGTTAGTGGCGTTGGCGCACGCGGGGGTAGTAGTGGCACCAGCGGTAGCAGCGGTATTAGGGCGCGGCGTCAATACGCAGCGGTTTGAGACGCAGCGTGGGGCGCGGCGTAGCCTGAGACGCAGCGTCGGTTTGGGACGCGGCGTGGGGCGCGGCGTAGCTTGAGGCGCAGCGTGGGGCGCGGCGTACCTTGAGGCGCAGCGTTGGTTTGAGACGCGCGGCGTACCTTGAGGCGCAGCGTTGGTGCTTGAGACGCAGCGTGGGGCGCGGCGTAGCTTGAGACGCAGCGTGGGGCGCGGCGTAGCTTGAGGCGCAGCGTCGGTGAGGCGCAACTGCGGCGTTAGGGACGCAGCGGCGTCTTGAGACGCAGCGTGGGCGCGACGTAGCTTGAGACGCAGCGTCGGTTTGCGACGCAGCGTGGGGCGCGGCGTGGCTTGAGGCGCAGCGTCGGTTTGAGACGCAGCGTGGGGCGCGGCGTAGCTTGAGACGCAGCGTCGGTTTGCGACGCAGCGTCGGTTTGCGACGCAGCGTGGGGCGCGGCGTAGCTTGAGACGCAGCGTGGGGCGCGGCGTAGCTTGAGACGCAGCGTGGGGCGCGGCGTAGCTTGAGGCGCAGCGTCGGTTTGAGACGCAGCGTGGGGCGCGGCGTAGCTTGAGACGCAGCGTGGGGCGCGGCGTAGCTTGAGCCGCAGCGTGGGGCGCGGCGTAGCTTGAGGCGCGGCGTCGGTGAGGCGCAACTGCGGCGTTAGGGACGCAGCGTGGGCGCGGCGTAGCTTGAGACGCAGCGTCGGTTTGCGACGCGGCGTGGGGCGCGGCGTAGCTTGAGGCGCAGCGTCGGTTTGAGACGCAGCGTGGGGCGCGGCGTAGCTTGAGACGCAGCGTGGGGCGCGGCGTAGCTTGAGACGCAGCGTGGGGCGCGGCGTAGCTTGAGACGCAGCGTGGGGCGCGGCGTAGCTTGAGACGCAGCGTGGGGCGCGGCGTAGCTTGAGGCGCAGCGTTGGTGAGGCGCAACTGCGGCGTTAGGGACGCAGCGGCGTCTTGAGACGCAGCGTGGGGCGCGACGTAGCTTGAGACGCAGCGTCGGTTTGCGACGCAGCGTGGGGCGCGGCGTGGCTTGAGGCGCAGCGTCGGTTTGAGACGCAGCGTGGGGCGCGGCGTAGCTTGAGACGCAGCGTCGGTTTGCGACGCAGCGTCGGTTTGCGACGCAGCGTGGGGTGCGGCGTAGCTTGAGACGCAGCGTGGGGCGCGGCGTAGCTTGAGACGCAGCGTGGGGCGCAGCGTGCAGCGTCTTTTTGAGACGCAGCGTGGGGCGCGGCGTAGCTTGAGACGCAGCGTGGGGCGCGGCGTAGCTTGAGCCGCAGCGTGGGGCGCGGCGTAGCTTGAGGCGCGGCGTCGGTGAGGCGCAACTGCGGCGTTAGGGACGCAGCGTGGGCGCGGCGTAGCTTGAGACGCAGCGTCGGTTTGCGACGCGGCGTGGGCGGCGTAGCTTGAGGCGCAGCGTCGGTTTGAGACGCAGCGTGGGGCGCGGCGTAGCTTGAGACGCAGCGTGGGGCGCGGCGTAGCTTGAGGCGCAGCGTCGGTTTAAGACGCAGCGTGGGGCGCGGCGTAGCTTGAGACGCAGCGTGGGGTGCGGCGTAGCTTGAGACGCAGCGTGGGGCGCGGCGTAGCTTGAGGCGCAGCGTCGGTTTGAGACGCAGCGTGGGGCGCGGCGTAGCTTGAGACGCAGCGTGGGGCGCGGCGTAGCTTGAGACGCAGCGTGGGCCGCGGCGTAGCTTGAGACGCAGCGTGGGGCGCGGCGTAGCTTGAGACGCAGAGTGGGGCGCGGCGTAGCTTGAGGCGCAGCGTCGGTTAAGCAGTAGCAAAAGGCAGCAGGCTGAGCGGCAAGGCAATGCAGTTTTAGTGACAGCACGTGGCGTGGGGGTTAGAAATAGAGTATTCGTTTTTGTTATGTATAGCAGTAATGTGTTCTAATAGCAACATGCGCTAGAAGTAGCAGAGTTACAGTATGAAACTTGGCCAACGCAGTAATGTAGCCTAACAATTATGTTTAAGAGGAGAAGCAGAAACAGAGTGTTAGCTGTACCAATGTATAGCAGTAATGTGGTCTAACGAAAAAAATATGACATGCAGCAGAAATCCGTGAAGCAGAAACACGGCATAGGATTAGTTACTACAATAATGCGTATTATCAGTGGCAAGGAGGGGGTGGGGGGGGGGGGGGGGGGGTGTGGGAGTGCAGTATTTGTTAAATCACCACACAGATGTGTTACCGTAAACTAGCAGTAGTGAGTGAGCAGGAATAAAGTATAGAATGCGTTTCACCAGCGACATGCAGCAGAAGGAGCAGAGTTTACAGCATTAAACTTGGCTAACGCAGTAATGTAGTCTAACAATGACGTTAAAGAGGAGAAACAGAAACAGAGTGTTAGCTTTACCAATGTATGGCAGTAATGTGGTTATTGAGTTGGAGTAACAAAACAGCACGGAAGTATAGCAAAGCCGTTTTACGTTAGAGCCACAGCCACAGATGATTAAAGACGTGGTGCAGAATAAAGTGTCAAGACAGCAGCAATGTAGTCCCGGAAGTAGTGCACCGGGACCGGAAAGTAGTCCTATGCTAGACAATAAAAGAGTTGTAGCTCCGCTTAGCAATATGCCGAGACGGGCTAGCACTCCATGATCGTCAAAACATAGAATCCGAGTGAGATAGGATAGTACGAAAGTATAGTACGTGGTGTTATTGTTAGACAACAGGTAGGCAATGCAGCAGAATGGCATTAGCAGTGGGGATGCGGCTCTGGCTTTTAGCACGCCAGGGCCGGAAGTTAGCCGTATGCTAAAAACAAAGGAGCGTAGCTAGCCGTTAGCTTGCCGACAACAGGAGGTTTTAGCAGTAGTTTAGGCAATAGACAATGGGTTTTGGTAACCGAATGCAATTTGGTTAAACAGAGTGGCACTAATACTAACATTAAGAGAGCAGCTATTAGTGGGAGCAGTATTAGGAGCAACGGGCGTTGTCCGAATGTAGTTCTGATGCTAGCGGCTCCGGGCCGGAAGTTAGCCTTATGCTAGAACAAAGGAATGTAGCTAGCCGTTAGCTTCCCGAACACAGGAGTAGCAGTGGGTTATACAACGAAAGTCTGGAGCGAGTTATACGGTTCGCACAAGCACGTATCGTAGTGGTGGAATGGGGTTTGTCTGTATGTACTGTAGAGTGCTGGTGTGTGTGTACAACAGCAGGTTAGTGGTAGAGAGAGTGGTGAGACAGGGTTAGCGTAGCCTAGCAGAACAATAGCATCACATTCAAGCCGCTGCCGTTCACAGCCTTTCACACATATATACTCGGTTACAATCCTGTGTGACGTGGGTCACAAAGGAACACAGAGTAGGTTTGTGCGCCCGTGTTCTGGACACGGCGCACGGTGGGTTACAAGGATAAGTTTTTGCGCTTTCTCTTAAGAGTTTAAGCGGCTTCACATTCCCACGCTGCCCGCTGGCCAAGCGGGGCGACACGTTGTAGGGAGATGCGTAGTACCCGTACGAAAAGTCGGGATTTGAGACTAAATTATATAGTCTAGTGTATGCACGAGCGCTTTATCGCAAGCGTGGGCGCAGGGGAGCTCAAATTGGCTTCGAAGTCACCATAGCAACGGGGCAGCAGGGAGCAAAGGGGGTGAGGGAGTGGGGGGAAAGCGCTTTGAGCGTGAGCAGTGCTTTAGTTAGCGTATTACAGATCAAATCACAGAGTACGAGTTGATAAATCTGGTTATATGCGCGGATCTCACAAACAGGGTACCATATATGTAGGGTAATAATATTACAGTAAGCTATAAATTGTAAGAGAAGAATAGTGCGGCTAGTCTCCAAGTCAGAGGCTGGCCGTCCTATTCGAATGGGGGATCTGCTTTTAATTTTTAGGGCACCAGCAGTTACTTCTGCACAGATCCAAACTAACTTTGCCTCGAGTCAGTCTTATAATCAAAAGGTAGTGAATGCGTATATCAGCCAGGGATATCCTGGATTTATAAACACGACGCTCAGATGATTGAGTTAAAGTTAACGTGAATTTATTGACTACAAAAATTAAAGATGCAAGTATAACGAAAAGGGATTTCTGGTCACATTAAACAGAAGCTGTATACATGTCATTCAAATCACACATTTAACAAAGAACAGTCTTACTTTGAGCCGTTCAAAGGTAGGTGGGTGATTAAAGATGAGGATGGAGATGGGAGGATGAGAATGAAGAATAGGATGGAGGCGATGTCCTCGTCCACGTGGTCTTTGTTCGAACAGGGAGCAGGAGGAAGCCAGCAGATCGGATCCCGGCGTGGGTTTCACACACACAACACGGTCTAGAATAGCGTTGCGGTGGGGTGTTCCAGGGAGCCCGAAAGTGGCTGGCGATGGAAGGTCCTCGTCTCCGACAGCGAGAGTGGTTGCTGTCCTCGTGGTTGTACAGGCCCGAGATGGTGGCGGGCGTAGGCCGTGTAGGGGACACGTACCAAACAGGATGGTTGCAAGAGTGATTTCGGGGGAACCAAGAGAAAGTTCTGTTGCATTGTGCGTGTTTATATTGACTTCAAGAAGTGGGCGCGTCTTGGACGTCATCCGTGTGCGACAACCCTCCCACAACAGCCAGTTTACAAGGGAAACACACAGGATTAATACAGACGAGCAGAACACATTGTACAACCACACACCGCAGTTCAGTACTCGACAATGATACACACATGTAGGGCAAGGTACAGACGTATTGGGGTAATACAGAGTCCGGAGCTGGTCTACACCATGTCCGTGCCGGGTGTGGTAGTGTTCAATGTCCGCTGGGGGGCGCCAGAACGCCGCGGGTGAGTCTCAGAGTGTCCAGGGACAGGAATGCCCGGGATTGAGAGCAGATGGATGATCTCTGATTTCTGCCAGGCAGAAAGGCACAAAGATATTTGTTCTGGGGCTCAGTTTATGGCCTTGGTTGACACTTATGGTCACGGTGACTGATGATGTCCTCTGGTTGACCTGGTCGTCTCTTAGATGTGCGTCAAGATGGGTCATGCTCGGAGGGCATGTTTACACATCTTGGTTTGCTGGTCAACGTCCGACTAGCTGTCCTTTAATTCACCTTACACTTACATAAATGTAATAACGTGGGTTTTCTGTTGAGAAAGGATTATCCATGGATCTGTATTATAACGAACATCAGTAAAAAGGAGTTGAACACAGGAAAGGCCTAGAACTGCTCTTTTTGAAGTCTTGAAAAGCAACAGACTGTTACTGATCAGATTAGAGTTGAATGTATTCAATTAGAACTTTAAGTACTGCTGACAAATATGTACCTGTGTAAATAATACCTTAGTTTTCATGACTCTACACTTCAGACACAAAAAACTAAATTATAATAACGCCAACAAGTTTTATTGTTTATTTTTTTATTTCTCTATGAAGGTGTCAGAGCAGACGCCCAGGACTCTGCTGTTGCTCCTGCTTCTGCTGCTCCTGCTGCTGCTCCTCGTCTTCAGAGATGCAGATCCCACTGTTCTAACTATTCATGACTGATGATTAAATAAAACATGAAAATATGTTTGTTGTAGTTCATATTGTTAATCCGCAGTGAAGCAGGAGGTGATGGAGGTGATGGAGGTGAAGCAGGAGAAACGATGCCGTGTGATTTTTGTTGCTGTCAGAGAAAGTCTGAGTTCCATTTCACCAAAAGTCTCTGAAAAAGAGCACAAACATCATGTTAAAACATGGACACCTCAAAATAAAATACAGAAATCCTCCTGTATTTAATATTAGAGGCACACAGCAGGAGAAACAGACACTGAGAAGTAACAGAAGAATAATATATTGGAAATATACACACAAATAAAACTTAGGAGTGTGGCTAACCACTTTAAACCTTTTGGAAGTGAGACTGTCATCTGCAAATGTCCTTTATTAATGACAAAATAAACATCTGTATAATGTGCTTTTATTTCATCATTATATTTATCAGACTATTGTATGAAAAGTGCTTCATAAAAAGCCAAATATATACAGTAAATGTTAATAATTATACAGTATTCCCAGTCTTAGTATGGGATTATAAATTATATACACATCTATTTTATATGAATACAGCTAACAGTGTTAGCATACTACATGTTAGAATACTACAGCTGCTGTCTCCATGGACTGTTTCCTCTGTGTAGCTTTAATATGTAATCTGTGGGTTTGTTTCTCCCTAAAGATGACATTACAGATTCTGCGCAGGGAGGTATTAGCGATTGTGAAACGTTTAAATAACTTACCAGAGACAGCAACCTCCTCACTGACCCTCCTCCATGTCACGGTGGTTAAAGTCTGCAGGGCTTCACGCGCGTCAAAACGCTCGAAATCTCAAAACGCTCGAAGACGTGCTGCTCGGGAGGCGCGTGACGCGCCGCCTGATCTCTTGACGCTCCTAGACGCGCGTCCCCCATGTTATGTCATTGTAAACCCGACGCTTTGGACGCATTTGGTCTGAACGCACCTTTAATGATGAGAAGCTGCGTTCAGACCAAACGCGTTTTCTGCGGCAAAATCGCGTCTGACTTGCGTCTTGGGACGCTTGTGACAAATTGTGGCAGACGCTGTCACAGAGCATCTTGGAGGCGCGTCACACGCGTCCAGGACACTAGAGGGCAGCGTTCTGGAGGCGCGTCAAGGAAGAACGTTTTGAGGCAGGCCTGCTCTGTTCCAACGCAACTCGGAGAGGGAAGGACACGGGAGCCAGGATTAAGGTAAAAAGTGTAAAATATGCTTTAATTAGGACATAAAAGTTAATAGGGCACTGTCCGGTTTCCGAAATGTGCTAAAAATAGCTCAGATGACTGCGCATGCGCGCATGTTTCGGACAAACATTGAGTGCGACTCGTTGAGTTCTACTGTGTTCTCCACATACGCGTGTGTATTTATTTGGGCTAAATCATTGAATCACGGTGACAACAAAACACTGCAGTTTTGGTGCTTGTCGGAGCGATTTCAGATACTCTGAAAAGGACTATATTAAAGCAGTAACATTCAACCCGTTCGTTAAACCACAACATCGGACCAGACCAGGACCAGACCAGGACAAGTGCAAGAGGTGGGTGCTTGTGGTCGGCAGAATTTCTCTCATGAAAAGGTTAAAAAGGACACGTGTTTTGAAAAAACACTTCGCTGGACCAACTGTGGACTATCCAGATCCAGTCCGAGCTACGTTTAGCTGGGACTGGACCTGGACCGCTGTATCAGGTCCATCTGAGCTCTTCTGAATGTAGTTAGCACAAACTTTCTCTTTATACCATTTACCCCCATCAATCCATATTAGTATTGTTTGTCCTAATCCAGAAAGTATACAATTCTCACACCTGAAGAAAAATGAGAGGGGTTTTTTCAACTTTGTGACTATCGGAAAATAAGTACAGACGAAGCTCGTCGGGGTCCGCTTATTATACTGCTTTGTACCAACTGCACATACAAAATAAACTTCAGTCATTCATGCTGAAAGGTTTATTTAATGAGTGCAAAGAAAATAGTTCCCAAAGGTTTTCCCGTGGCAGGCGAGTAAAGGCGCGTTCAGACCAAAAGCTTCAAAAAGCTTTTGACGCGCTTCAACTGACGCCGGGATAGTTTTGTCATTTTGGTGCTTGAAGCTTTTGACGCGAGTGACGCGCCTGACGCCGGTGGGAGGAGCTTCTCTGTTGTCTGTTGTCAGGACAGCGGTGGATTTTTCAATGAGCAGTGAGCCTTTATTTGTTATATAAAGCAAAATAACGTTGTTGTAGGGCTTCAACAAAACATGTTCTGGGTTCACCACAGACTTGAGAGGCTGCAGTGTTTGCAGAGTTCCGTTATTTACTCCAGGAGCTGCGTACGGAGGAGTTTCGCTTTCAGCGGTACTTCCGCATGTCACTCGCCCAGTCTGAGTTCTCAAACCCCGGAGCTCGCCTCTCCCCGGCTCTCGCTCGCCTCTCCCCGCCTCGCTCTCGCCTCTCCCTGCCTCTCCCCGGCTCTCACTCGCCTCTCCCCGCCTCGCTCTCGCCTCTCCCTGCCTCTCCCCGGCTCTCGCTCGCCTCTCCCCTGCCTCTCCCCGGCTCTCGCTCGCCTCTCCCCTGCCTCTCCCCGGCTCTCGCCCGCTCGGAGCTGCCTTGCTCTGAGCCAGACTCATCGTCAGCCTGTTCTTATTTTAAATAAACTACGTTTACTACACAGCATGTATACAATGATTTTTGTTACTCAGAATGTTACTACTCATACAAATAATATTACTAATAACAATAATGACAATAAAACAGCAGCAGTAGATACATGACTTCTCTTCATGACAGAGACAGACCCTCTGCTGCTGCTGCTCCTCGTCTCCTGATTGGTTGAAGCCCGCGTCAAAGCTTCAAAAGCTCAGCTTTGCTCAGCTTCGGCGTCAAAGGGATTGTTGTGATACGCGAGCGTTTCGCGCGTCAAAAGTTTCAAGTGAGCGCGTAGTACGCGCGACTCTTGAAGCTTTTGACGCGCGTCAAGTGACGCCGGGGCTCTCGGCTTCACCTGACGCGCTTCACCATTCACTTTCAATGGAAACCTGACGCTTTTGACGCCGAAGTTAAGTCCGGTGTGAACGCCCCTAAACAGTGAGGCTAGTTAACCTACTTTAAAAAAGCGATCACTTTAGTCGCATTAAAAAAGTATTTTTGTCATGAAAACCTTAACAGGTACTTCTGAAAACCTCCGTGCACGTGTGTTACAAATGTATGTATAATATATTCTCCCATTTACATTTAAATGTGTTGATTGATTGTCATTTGCGTTTATTGAGTGTGGCTCTGATAGTTTCTCTCTCAGAGACAGTAGTGGCGTAGCCCGTTGTGACCCATGGATCTATTATAATATCGGCTGACAGTAGCTAACTAATGATAAAACTAATTACAGAGTGGACAGTGCAAAAACAAACCCTTGATAAATGGAAGTTAATCACAGCAAAATAAACAAAGAAGGCGCTAGCATAGAATTTAAATGACAAGATAATGTTAGCATAATCCTCACTATTACCAGTATCAAATCAAACTTTCTACCAGTTACAGACCACGACATTCAAGCTAACGTTATAATTGGTCTATACTATGATCCCTGACGGTTTGATGGTGGAATTTTGCTCCTGGTTTATCATTTTCGTCTAAAGTGACAAGCGGTATTTGATTCATTTCGGCAGTGTTTGTCCGAAACATGTGGGCGGGAGTTGACAGGCGGCGGGGGCGTGTCTTAGTGACGTCATTCAGATAGATCGCTATTGTAATACCATTTGAGGCGAGAAATACCCCCCTTTATTGTCATATCGGAGGTCTGTTTGGTGATCAGATAGAACATTGTCGGACTTTTCTCCAGTGCAGAGAGCGGGGGTTCGGCAGAGAAAGAGCGTCTCAACGCGGGGACACATCAGTGGAGCTCTCACAAGCTTCATTCTGAGAATCCGAGGCTTTTGTTACGGACTTTCTCTGTTATAAGAATTGTATTGGCAGTAATCATTCGTTTTTACAAAGTCATATTGTATGTAAACAATGCACACGTATGCTATAAATGATTGATTTATTTGCTCTGGCCTCGTTTGTGCATCACTTACATAAATGTAATAACGTTTTTTCTGATGAAAAAGGAATATTCATGGACCTATAATAATAATAAGCACATCCATGAATCTGTATTATAACGAACATCAGTAAAAAGCAGTTGAACACAGGAAAGGCCTAGAACTGCTCTTTTTGAAGTCTTGAAAAGCAAGACTTCAAAACTTCTGTTACTGATCAGATTAGAGTTGAATGTATTCCAATAGAACTTTAAGTACTGCTGACAAATATGTACCTGTGTAAATAATACCTTATTTTTCATGACTCTTTACACTTCAGACACAAAAAACTAAATAAACACCAACAAGTTTTATTTTTTATTTCCAGGCTCTCTATGAAGGTGTCAGAGGCAGGTCTACGCCCAGGACTCTGCTGTTGCTCCTGCTCCTGTTGCTCCTGCTGCTCCCCGTCTTCAGAGATGCAGATCCCACTGTTCTAACTATTCAAGACTGATGATTAAATAAAACATGAAAATATGTTTGTTGTAGTTCATATTGTTAATCCCCAGTGAAGCAGGAGGTGATGGAGGTGAAGCAGGAGGTGAAGCAGGAGGTGATGGAGGTGAAGCAGGAGAAACGATGCAGTGTGATTTTGTTGCTGTCAGAGAGAGAGTTCCATTTCACCAAAAGTCTCTGAAAAAGAACACAAACATCATGTTAAAACATGGACACATCAAAATAAAATGCATAAATCCTTCCTGTATTTAATATTAGAGGTACACAGCAGGAGAAACAGACACTGAGGAGGAACAGATACTGAGGAGAAACAGACACTGAGGAGGAACAGACACTGAGGAGGAACAGACACTGAGGAGGAACAGACACTGAGGAGAAACATAATAATATATTGGAAATATACACACAAATAACACTAAACACTTTAAACCTTTTGGAAGTGAGACTGTCATCTGCAAATGTCCTTTATTAATGACAAAAGAAACATGTGTATAATATGCTCTTATTTCATTATATACTATATATGAAAAGTGCTTCATAATAAGACATATATATATACAGTAAATGTTAATTATACAGTATTCCCAGTCTTAGTATGGGATTATAAATTATATACACAATCTATTTTATATGAATACAGATACTTCGTGTTACTTAGCATGTTAGCATACTACATGTTAGAATACTACAGCTGCTGTCTCCATGGACTGTTTCCTCTGTGTAGCTTTAATGTGTAATCTGTGGGTTTGTTTCTCCCTAAAGATGACATTACAGATATTGTTCAGGGAAGTGTGAGATTTCATAACACTTTTAAGCAACTTTTGTTAAAGTTAAACTCATCATTCTATCAATGTGCAGAAGCCAGTACTTTTCCCTTGTTTTGTCTATCTGAAGGCCAAGCTACATGGCACCGTGGAAGCTGCTGATTGGAGGTCTCCATGCCTCCGCTCTGTATAATACACTTGCATTCTCTTGTATCTGTGATTGTGTGTTCGTGTTCGTGCTGTCTCTACCATTGACAATAAAACATGTCTTCTGTCTGAATTAAAGACGCGATCCCAGACTTTGTCATCTTCTTCAGGAGTATTAGCGATTTTGAAAAGTTTAAATAACTTACCAGAGACACCAACCTCCTCACTGACCACCTCCATGTCACGGTGGTTATAGTCTGCAGGGCTCATGGGCTAACAGCACAGCTTGTCCTCCATAGCTGTTGTGTTGTCGTCCCCATAGACATATATAGAATAGACGCCGCATTGGTTGCTCGGGCACGAGAAATACGGCCGCCATCTTGGACCGGTCATCCTACAGCGCGATGCCTGAACACTGTGCGGCGTATGGCTGTCAAAATAGGCGGACTATTCAAAACAGGGCTCGTGGGATTACTTTTCACAAGTAAGATTTAACATTATTATTGGTTGTACTAGTTTGTTAATCGAATATTACTGAATTGTATTTATGTCACCAACGAAATCAGATACAGAACATCTATTGAATAGCAAACAAGCTAACTTACAGCAGCTTTGGTTCATTATCAAAATGCGAGTTTTGTTGAAGAGATGTTCTATATTTGAAGGAGGAAAATGGGAAGAAGTAATTAGGAATAATAGGAATTATGGTAATATATATATATATATATATATGGTCCTATCGCACATAACCTACTGTTTAACAACTTGGTCTCAAGCAAATAAAACAACACTAAAGCCCTTAGAGTCACTTTACAAACGGACAATAAAAATTCTGGACAAAAAACCAATGAGGTATCATCACTCCAATATCCTTGGCTGGGAAAATCTCATTAAGTATTCAAACCTCTGCCTCATACATAACCCTACTCCCTGATACTAACCCTCGTAAGACAATCTCAGGGTCTGCTTGTTGTAGAAGGGAGCAGGTCTAACGACCCTGCTGAGGTCTAACGACCCTAACTTCCTTAGCATGTCACTGACCTATTGTCTGCTGGGATGCTTCAAGTGGAGTGCAGGTTTCACTCCCTCCTAATCATTAGCATGTCACTGACCTTGTCCCAGAGTTAGGGCGTTGTTTTTAGGATGTCGTCATAGATGCGAGGCAAAACAAATCTTAATCCCCTCCTCCTCTGTTAAGAGAAGTTTTTGTTTACTCACAAAAATGGCTTCTCTTCATTCACCCTCTCTCAAACCAATTCTTCTCCCGAGCCAGAATTTTAACCTCTGTGTCATCCACCGTGTGGTTGGAGGCCTTGAGTGGAGATGAACAGCCGACTGTGCCCACTATAGTTATCTCTACGATGTTGGTAAAGTCGTTTCTGTAGAGGTTTGTTGGTTTCTCCAATATATGGTCAGTGCACTCTCCTCCTCTTCACTACAATTAATTGAAATAAACCACATTGCTCTGTTTGTGTCCCTGGGTGTTTTGGACTTAGGGAGATGCACTAATTTCTGTCTTAAAAACGTGTTGAGAAGGTTTGAAATACACAAGGGATTTTGTGTTGCCCTAAAATTTTATGTATTTTCTCTGAAACTCCCGCCACACTAGCTGTAAGGACAAAACCGACCCCAACCTCCTCCAACTTTCTCTGACCTGATTGGCCTGTGTCTCTGGCCTTTCTCGCCTTTGGCTTTAGTAAAAAGACCACTTGTGGGTAGCCACATCTGGAAAGTGCGCTCTGAACATGTTTGGTTTCTCTGTCTTTTCCCTTCCGAGCAAGTTGGGACCTGGTGGGTCTCGGTAGTTAGAAGGGCGTTCAAAGCCCCGAGTTTGGTGTTTTAAGCGGATGATTTGATCAAAGCCAATACTGGTCAGTGTGAGTGGACTTTCTGAAGACCTCAGTCTCTAATTGTTCGTTCACCAGTATGATGACCTTACAACTAGAAAGGCGAAGTTTCACTCTCCTTAGCATACCTCGCGAGTGAAATTTATTAAAAGGGTCCACCGAGTTAATGTGTGCTGAAAATGGTTCCACATGTCCTAGTTCCATTAACTTAAAACCGCAGTATCGTCTAGCATATACGAAACCAATGGCTTGGCGCTGTTCCCTTGGTACGAGCCAGTGCTTGTTCCTCCAGTTTTCTCCATATACAGATAGCCACTATAGGAGAGACTGGGGACACCTTCGCACAGCCATGAAATCTGCTAAAGAAGGTTCCACTAAAATTGAAATACTTGGTTTAAAAGACACATTTCAAGTATTTCACAGATGTGGTCAGCTGTTAGTTTTCTCAGTTCTCTCTCCCCTAGTGGTGTGCGGTCTTTGCTGTAGCTTTCTCATAAAGCCTCCACCGCCTCTGTAATAGGGACCTGACGTAAAACGCGATGTCACATCAAACGATACCATTGTCTCATACTGAGTCAATCTGGAGGTGTTTGATTATATATACAAATTCTTTGTGTCTATGCAACATACAATAGCAGAAATTGTATGTAGCAATAGACCTATCACCTACAAACCTGGCTAAACACCACAAAACCATTCTGGCTCCTTTATGGTGGGTAACAACACCCACCTCAAATAAAAACCACAAAGAAATTGTAATAAAAACAAACACCCTCCAGTGTTGACTCAATGAGACAATTGGTCTCGTTTGATGTGACAATCGCTTTTTTACGTCTTTCCGCTATTACATAGTGCGTTGAGGCAGTAAGAGAAAGCCTACAGAAAGGACGCCACACTAGGGGAGAGAACGAAACTACAGCTGACCACATCTGTGGAACTACTTGAAATGTGTCATAACACCACGATTTCCAATTTAGAGGCACCTTCTTTAGACAGAATCATGTGCTGTGCGATTGGCTACCCCATTCTCACCTATAGTGGGCCAATCTGTAATAAGGAAAACTGAGGAACAAGCCCTGGGCTCGTACCAAGGGACAGCGCCAGCCAATGGTTTCGATATGTAACGAAACATGGGTTAAGTAAAAGAAACAGGAAGTGGAACCATTTCAGACACATTAACTCGTTGGTCCCTTTATAAATTTCACTCGCGAGGATGCTAAGGAGAGAGAACTCCCGCCTTTCTACTAGATTTAAGGTCATCAAACTGGAGAACGGACAATAAGAGACTGAGGTCTTCATAAAGTCCACACACACAGACCATACTTGGCCTTTTGATTCAAATCATCCGCGTACAACACAAACTCGGGGTCATTAGAAGCTTCAACACCGAGCCCACCAGGTCCCCACTAGCTCGTTAGGGAAAGAACAGAGAACCAAAGCATTTTCAGAGAGCCTTTCCAGATGTGGCTACCCCAAGTGGTCTTTTAACTAAAGCCCAAAGGACGAGAAAGGCCTGAGACACAGCCCTCAACAGACAGAAGAAAGTAGAGGAGAGGGGTTTCCTTACGTATGTGGCGGGAGTTTCAGAGAAACTACAAAGAATCTTTAGGCAACACAAAATCCTGTGTATTTCAAACCTTTCCAACACGTTAAGACAGAAAAAGTTGCATCCCAAAGACCAACCACCCAGACACAAACAGAGCAATTGGCTGTATTCAATTAAATGTAGTGAAGATGAGTGCCCTGACCACCTATATTGGAGAAAACCAAACAAACTCTACAGAACGACTTACCAACATTAGAAAGGAGGAAAAACACTTAAAAGAAAGTTGTTTGGTATCCGGAATTACTTATGAATGTGAGACGCCATAGGCTGGTTTAGGTAATGTGGAACAGTCATTTCACAAAAGAGAATATATTCCTAAGCTTTATATCAAAATGCTAGGCCTAGTTCAAATCAAGCCACTTGTGGCCAACACTTGTGGAGATGACCACACGGTCATGGGGTTAATAGATCAATAGAAGGGCCAATACTAGTAGAGTTCTCGGGTATTCGTCCAAGAAATCATGATTGGGTCGCAAGATCGATACATGGCGCGCTTTATTTGCAACTGAAAGTGAATATCTCCAACAATCATCCCGCTTTGTGAAAGCGTACGTAAGTGTGCGCACCGGCGTCAGTGCAGCTGCACCCCGCACCTCAAAGTCGAGGGGATCTCCGGTAATTCAGGGGAAATAATGCACATTAATCCGTCAAATATCGGGTATGGTCATTAATGGCACAGCGCAGGCAGGAGCATCTCTTCAGCATCCTGACCGTTCGACTCGTTGTCCCGGACAGTGGGGGACTCAAGGCTAAACTTTCTCTGCAAACTGCTGCTGTTTAATGACAGTACACATCGGGAACAACACTGAAGAAAGGCTCGAGCAGAGCGGTGCAAAAGAGGCGCGCGCCCGGACAAACTCACAACGAGCGCGTTAAGACCAATAAAAATCACAGATTTAAGACATCTGGTACCCTATTAAAGGAACGTAAAGAGATGGGGAATGCCGTTCACAGACACCATAATGAACGCGTTTATAGTTTCGTTCATCAGGCAGTAATACAGTGCGTTCAGTTCACGTTCGCCCAAAATATGAACGCGTTGATGAACTATCATTCAATGAACGCGTTCAGGTACATCACTGCCCACGCCGTAGGCTGCTAGGAAAGTCACAAATGCAAAATGGGTTCCAGATTATCTAAGTTGTACAGCCCATCACACATATCAATTTCATTAAAGGTTCTTACTGTTTTTTACAGAGAGATTTTGCGTTCTTCATGATGTGACTGAGGCAGCGGTGAATAATTGGATATTGGAGATGTTTGGCAGAACCCTGACCTGTGATAATGGTGAAATATGCATCCAGTAAATCATTGAGATTGGTGTTTGCAAAAGAAAGAGATATTGATTGGAGGAGGACAATGGAGCCGTCGCACATGATCATTCGGGGTGTAGTGGTTTTATGGCCATAGTGTTTGATGTGGTGAAGCTGAAAGTCCATAAGAAATGAGGTGATGGATGGAGTGGTGTGTGAACATGTGACAAATGTTGCCACAGGGAATGGTGAGCCACCCTTTCGTGGGCTCCGCACCACCAACTCATATATGTAATATGTAGCCTTTTCCCGTTGTTTTATCATGGCTCCTGTGGCGTCAATGTATACAATGTCCTCCCGGCACCGTTGGTGGAATACCGATATGCTCTTTTGCGACCACAGCTTTGCACCGCATGGTAGCATACTGACGGACTGGATGACCTCCTCCGGCGTGTCAGTCCTATTTTGAATCATTGTTTCCAGGCTCTTGATTTCATCCTGATGTGCCCGTTTTCTTGCCCGTTCTTTATAAGTGATGTTCTTCAGGATGCTCGGCGAAGGTGCTGTATCCCGGCAACCAGAGTCAACAACAATTTGAGACATATTACTCAACCTTTGCAGGTGCAGGGCTCTGGGTGGTTTCACCTGAAGTTCCGCTTCAAGCCGCTGCTGCAGGCTGGCTCTATATGGTCTCCTTCTCTGCTGATTGGTTTGGTGAGAAGCAAAGTTCCCGTGGAAAGTTAAATTGGCTCGTAGGTCTTCCTCGGAGTGTATGGAAATTGCGATTTTAACTGGGCACATTTTGAACAGACAATAGGCACTGCACGTGAATAGATCGCCATTTCGTTTGGACCCTTGCACCTTGACTCTGTGTCGCTCAAAGGCAAAACTACAAACTGGATAAAGGCTCCGGATTCCGTCGGCCATTATGTTTGTCCACTCCAGGCCAGTGAACTGGTCTATTCTTTGTGCACTTCGAAGTGCCAGCCAATCTCTCCTGTCCACCATGAAAAACATGGGACCTTGTGGCACGGGTATTTTACATAGGCCAGATTCCTGCAAAAATAAAAGCACCATTAGGCTCCAATGAAACACTGGTCCCAGCCAAATCAACATAGGCTAATGATAATTTCAATGTCAGTCTTGCTTACATTGGAGTCACCATCCCTGCAGGTGTGTGGTGGGGAAGAACACTCATCCCTGCTGTGGTCCTGCTCAGAGAGGTAGTCCTCGGAATAAATGGGTTCTGTGTCATTCTGTAAACAGAACATGAACGTTGAATGAGTTCTGAACAATGAATGTGACTGCCTTTGCTCAAAATTAACAGTGGTTGGGTCATAGGCTCCAATGAAACACTAGTTCCAGCCAAATCAACATAGGCTAATGATCATTTCAATGTCAGTCTTGTTTACATTGGAGTCACCATCCCTGCAGGTTTGTGGTGGGGAAGAACACTCATCCCTGCTGTGGTCCTGCTCAGAGAGGTAGTCCTCGGAATAAATGGGTTCTGTGTCATTCTGTAAACAGAACATGAACGTTGAATGAGTTCTGAACAATTAATGCAATTAATAAATTGCTCAAAATTAACAGTGGTTGGGTCATAGGCTCCAATGAAACACTAGTCCAAGATTACAGGCCAATTCTTACATCGGAGTCTTTGCCAGTGTGTGGTGATGGTGGTGGTGGCGAAGGAGAATGTTCCACCTCAGTGTCTTTCTCTGGGTACCCTGTGGGCTGTGGTTTATTCTGTAAAGGGGACAAAACGCTAATGATTATGTCTTTACCATTTTGTTCATGACAAAATTACAAATATTGACAAGAATGGCAACCACAATAATGTGAATTTGAAATCTAATAAATCAGAATTATTGTTAAACAGTTACAGTAAAGAGAAATTGACGTGTTTTCTTGTTCAAAACACAATAATATAAATATAAAGGAATAAAAGATTAAAAGCAATGACGACGACAACAGTACTGATTCTGATTGTCATCTTATTTTTAATAGATAATAGGAACAATAAACTGGCAGTTCAGATGGCTGGATGTCACAGGAAAACTCCTGATTTTTGAGTCATGAAAATAAACATGAGCACACAAAATACAGGTACACGTGTACAGGTCAAGGTCATATTAATTGATGCAGGCTGTATCAAAAAGGCTGAGTAGACCTTTAATAGGAATAGTCATGTACCTCTCTAGTGGCAGAATCAATGTCCTTCTGGATGCATTCGGGAGTGCAATACATAGGCTTGAAATACAAACACAATGATATGTGAACAACCGATCATTACATTAATGTGTAGACTACAACCGTGCGCGCGCGCACACACACGCACACACTGACCTTTATGTTGCGGATATAAGCCAGACGCATTCTTCGTTGATTCGACACGTCTGCTTTGACACCAGCTACCACACACATTTCCTTCCAAAATTTGAAGTTTTTAGTCTGTTTGAATATTGTGTTGTGGCTTTCTGCCGTGTGAATGTATGTATGTATTTGCTCATAAGTTATGAGTCTTTCTTTTTTCTAAAGTAAAGAAACACATATTAGGCGTTTGTCATGGAACTGTGTACAAAACATCATAATAGGTTTTATTTACCCCAGAGAATTCCCGGAATGACATTCTGAAAGACAAAAGGACACGTAATTAAAATAAGATAAATGATACTGAAACAATATTCCTTTGGCTAATTTGTCTGGACCACGTACTGTATGTAACTGAGCCATAACGCACCAGATCAGCCAGAGGACCAGCATATCTGTAGGCCTGGTTTAGTTAAGTGACGTGCACATGTTGTTGCTCAAGTCTCCAGGTGTTACTGTGAAATTTATTTCAGATTACCGGGGAGTGGCCCGAAATGAGGGGTAGTCTAAATTCATTACACCAGGCAACAGCCCTTTTCGGGAAGCTGCCCTTTTTTTCCATTTACTTTTTAAACGTTACGGTTATACTAAAACCATAATAGTTTATTAAATAAACATAGAAATCAACAGTTTCTCTGACAACAACAACAACCGCAGGGGAGCGAGGGAATCGTTAGCAATCACTTTGGGGTTCGTGATAAACTGTAGACCAGTAGTTCCCAAGTAGAGGTACAGGGACCCCTTGGGGTATTCGAGAACTTAGTAGGGGGACTTTTTTAAGTGAATCATTCTGAACCTTACTAGGAAAGGAAAAGCTATATTTTTTTTTACAGTAAAATGTATTGGTTGTCAGGTTTGTTTTGAAGACAGCATTGTTTTATGCGTACAAATGGTCCTTTTAAGTGATAGCTTTCTAAATAAATCGCAACAACTCTGGGGGAGGGGGTACACAGTACCACTAAAGGGTCCAAGGGTTCCGCAAGACAAAAAAGGTTGGGAACCACTGCTGTAGGCCAGTGGTTCTCAACCTTTTCATCTCTGGGGCACCCCGACATTTTGTTGCATCTGCAGCACTATAACCCTAATGTCTTATGTGATAATGGTAGTCTCACATGAAAATATGGCCTAAATTGAACTGCTTTAACTTATATAGTCAATATATCTATTCCCAACATGAATGAAACATTCAGCTTAAAATCCAAATAATAATTAGCCTATTAGTATGTTGCCATTTTCAAATCCTCTAGCCTACAATAAGAAGCAACCTAAATATACTATTATTACTTGTGAAAGGGCAGATGAATAAAAATAAGACATGATCAGTCCAGAATCGAACCACAAATTCCTGAATCCCTCTGTACACGTCACTGATGGAGTTGTGCCTAACCTGCTAAATTGAAACTATAGGTCTCCTACGGGCTTGGGATAGTGCTTAAAGGAACATGTTACTCGCAGCTTATCTCACTAAAGGGCAGGCGCGCGGGGATCTTTTTCTTTCCATATCCTATGATATTGCGAGTACATTGCAAGTTTAAATATATTCTGAAATGGACATATAATCCGGTTTGTTTGAAATATCCCGTGGGAGAGAGGAGTAACGCACACACACACCCAAAGTGGTAACCGAGGTGCAGATGTTGAGGAAATTTTTTTTGTATTTTCCTAAAAGAGTGTGCGATGCCGTTTTTATTTTATTTTGTTAAATATCCAACCTGACACTTGACGTGAGCGGTAGAAGTGTGCTCTGGTGCGCATATTAGGGCTGGTTAAGGAATGTTGACTACCTCCTCCTCTCTCATCTTGACCATGCACATGTATCATTGTATTTACCAACGTCAAATTGCAACATCGTTTCAGAGAGTTGTTTTTATTTCCATAATAATGAAACCGATTATTGTGAAACAAGCAGCATTTTGCAGCTTTTATGCAGCCCATTATCCCTAGTAGGTCAGGGAGTGGGGGTACTATGGAAGATTTTATGTGTCGTCCGATTTGGAATTTTTTTTAGCTTGAATTTTTCCGTTTGAGATTTTTAACCCTGAAAAAGCAAGTTTGAATATTTTTATCTTTACTTTTCAGTCACTAAAAATTCCGTTTACAAATTTGAATGTGATTAAAATTTCAAAATGACCGACAGAGCACGTAACCGGATGTGTCATGTACATTTTTCACCCATTGAATTTTTTCTCGTTGAATTTTGACTGTTGCATTTAACATTATGAAATTGATAATCAGTGACTGAAATTCACATAAAATATTCAAGAATTTAAAAACATTCAAATAGATGAATTCAGGTCAATTTAAAATTCAATTTCTGATGGAACAAATAATCAGTCTTTTTTTTTTTCATTCATCATTCACCCTCAAAGAATATTTTGAGGGTGAATATGTCATTTTGAATTTTAATCACATTGAAATTTGTAAACTGAATTTTTAGTGACTGAAATGCAAAGATAACAATATTCAAACTAGCTTTTTCAGGGTTAAAAATTTCAAACTGAAGAATTCAAGCTAAAAGAAAGTCAAAATCTGATGACACAAAAAATCTTCCATTGGGTACACACTGCTTGGTTCAAGGGAATAGTGTCCATAGTTCATAGCCATGTGGAGGACGGGGGGTGGGGGTTGGTGTCTGCACTACTACTTTTCTTTATTATATAAAGAAAGATCCTTGCCCAGACTATCCCAGGGAGAAGAAAAGCTGACTATAGTAGCAGTAGTAGTAGTACTACTGATAACTAAATAACTAATGGCTACTGATGATCATGCCTATGGGCTCCTGCACTCAAATAAATGAAAGCTTAACCTGTAGAGGCTACGACTTGACATGAGGGATACAGATATTTGAAGGCTAACTGATAGACCAGGTTCCTGAAACCTGGAAGGAGGAAGGGAGAAGAGCTATTGGTGCTGCTATTTGACCAGAGATATTCATTCCTGTTTTTATAGGCTGCCTATTGAACAGCGGAATGGAATTGTAGCCTATACTGACACAATCTCGGCAAAGGCCACCATTCATTCACCCCCACCACCACCACCACCCCCCACCACCACCACCACCACCACCACCAGCATAGTTTGTATTTGTGTTGTTAGTTAACGACAAACTCACCCATTTTGTCCTTTTATTTTGCGTTTCTTAGGCATCTTTATGTGATATGTCTTTTTATGATTTGACACACTCACTCACTGATGCATGCACGGCAAACGGCCAAGGCCTCACATCCGGTTGCTTAAGAAGGAGAGGAGGGAGTTGTTTGACCTATCCTGGACGAGACTGATTTCCCCAATAGGAAACGTAGGATGACACCGCAGGCGTTAACAATGACAAGGAGATCTGTACTTACTTCAACATTGAGGTGTGTCGAGACTAAAAGGGTTTATTGTGAACAATACAATGTAATGTGGCTATTTTGTGACATTCTTAAATTGACGGAGAGGTACATGACTGGGCAATCTGCTTATCATTCGACTTGCCTCTCATGAATGCGAGTGAAACCCGACGCATGTGTCACGCGCGTTGATGTGGCGCGGCTGCACCAATAGGGTAAACACTACTAGCGTGAGGCTGGCCCCCCCCTTCACTTCAAAATTCAGTTTTATATTTTGTACATATTATTTTTGATGTTCCAGGAGTGATTTGGCCTCCTGGGGTGTTATTTTTGTCCAGTACCTTCATAGATGTGGTTCAAACCTGGGCCACACGTCAAGTGGGGTGTGTGCACTTGAAATGTGTTGAGTTTGTGTATTGACAATACTGTTTGATATTTGTTACATATTATTTTTGATGTTCCAGGAGTGATTTGGCCTCCTGGGGTGTTATTTTTGTCCAGTACCTTCATAGATGTGGTTCAAACCTGGGCCACACGTCAAGTGGGGTGTGTGCACTTGAAATGTGTTGAGTTTGTGTATTGACAATACTGTTTGATATTTGTTACATATTATTTTTGATGTTCCAGGAGTGATTTGGCCTCCTGGGGTGTTATTTTTGTCCAGTACCTTCATAGATGTGGTTCAAACCTGGGCCACACGTCAAGTGGGGTGTGTGCACTTGAAATGTGTTGAGTTTGTGTATTGACAATACTGTTTGATATTTGTTACATATTATTTTTGATGTTCCAGGAGTGATTTGGCCTCCTGGGGTGTTATTTTTGTCCAGTACCTTCATAGATGTGGTTCAAACCTGGGCCACACGTCAAGTGGGGTGTGTGCACTTGAAATGTGTTGAGTTTGTGTATTGACAATACTGTTTGATATTTGTTACATATTATTTTTGATGTTCCAGGAGTGATTTGGCCTCCTGGGGTGTTATTTTTGTCCAGTACCTTCATAGATGTGGTTCAAACCTGGGCCACACGTCAAGTGGGGTGTGTGCACTTGAAATGTGTTGAGTTTGTGTATTGACAATACTGTTTGATATTTGTTACATATTATTTTTGATGTTCCAGGAGTGATTTGGCCTCCTGGGGGTGTTATTTTTGTCCAGTACCTTCATAGATGTGGTTCAAACCTGGGCCACACGTCAAGTGGGGTGTGTGCACTTGAAATGTGTTGAGTTTGTGTATTGACAATACTGTTTGATATTTGTTACATATTATTTTTGATGTTCCAGGAGTGATTTGGCCTCCTGGGGTGTTATTTTTGTCCAGTACCTTCATAGATGTGGTTCAAACCTGGGCCACACGTCAAGTGGGGTGTGTGCACTTGAAATGTGTTGAGTTTGTGTATTGACAATACTGTTTGATATTTGTTACATATTATTTTTGATGTTCCAGGAGTGATTTGGCCTCCTGGGGTGTTATTTTTGTCCAGTACCTTCATAGATGTGGTTCAAACCTGGGCCACACGTCAAGTGGGGTGTGTGCACTTGAAATGTGTTGAGTTTGTGTATTGACAATACTGTTTGATATTTGTTACATATTATTTTTGATGTTCCAGGAGTGATTTGGCCTCCTGGGGTGTTATTTTTGTCCAGTACCTTCATAGATGTGGTTCAAACCTGGGCC